GTTTTAAGAGTTTACTAGCTTTAAAAATGCTTCTGAACCCTAACAAGGTTAAGTCTGTTCCTCTGAATGGATTCTTCTTGTTTGAAATGTTTCAACAAAGAAGAATCCGTCCAGAGAACTATTGAGCTTGCATCAAGACATTTCTGAACCCTCTCTTTTCACTGCCTGCGTCACCGTTTGCATCATTGGCAGGTTGGTGCAGAGACTGACAGCCTCTCTTTGTATTGCAGGAGTGGACAGCTATCTGTGCACTAAAGAGAAGTTTTTGTTTGTGAAGGAGCTTTTGTGCAGCAAGTGTCCTCCAAGTTTTAAAATATACTTCTAAATAGGATTCTTATTAATGTGTTATTATGTTTGCACAGAGAGCTGATCTAAAACTTAAAAATTTAAAAGAAAAATATTAATCTTTCCAAGAGTCACAACTTAAAAAAGCAGTCACTTTTATTATGTTTCAAGATGTTCTCTTCTATGAGCTGTCACGTACAAAGCAAGTACTTTTATTCAAGCTTTAACAGGAAGCTGCTGCAATTTATAATCATGAACAATGGAAACTCTGATCTAAGCTTTTTTAATTTTAACTGTAAAGTGATTCATCAAAGACAGTCATTGATGGGAAAAGGGAGGAACTGTAAACAGATTTTCCTCAATTTTTCTCAAAAATTGATGATGCCTTTTAGTTTGCGTTTACTATTTTTTCACCAGGTCTTTGTATAAATCAGCATTTTCACTGCAAAACAAAACTGCTAAAACAGAAAATGACTCCTCTAGATGTGTTGCACACCATGTAACTCACTGAAGTGAAGAGTGGTATGTTGGTTTCGATAGAGATCCACTTTTGAGAGGCATTTTTGAATACTCCTGGGCGCCGTGTGTTTTCCTGCTTCACCCTTCTGTAGTGTTTGATCCACCTTCTCACCATCCTCTGCAGAATGGATCAAGTAACAGCAGCAAAGCCTCAAACTCTTACACTCCTCCCTTTGTGCCAGATAAGCCATTACTGAAGATGTGGAAAATGACAGCCTCAAAGCTTCTGAACTTTTACTTAGGTTTTCTGTCAGGACACATTTGTCAGTCCTGTCTGTAATTTCACAGAAAACAGCAGGGTTCAATCAGTTCTATAGACTTCTTTGAAATCATTTTAATTTCATTTGACGGAGCACATGACTTTTTTATTTATTTATTTAATTTTGAACAGTTAAAACAAAACAAAACTAAAAAATCAATAAAAAAGTAAATATTTTCACCAAAATATAATAATAATAAAAATGATGTGTTTTGTGTTGTCGTCATTGTACGTTCCCATACAATGGTGAAATTGGCTTTCTGCATTTAACTCATCCACCCCCAGGTGGAGCAGTGGACAGCTATTGAAAACGCCTGGGGAGCAATTGATAGGGTGTGTTGCTCAAAGACACCACGAGATGTGCAGTGACTGGGGATCGAACCTGGGACTTTCGGGTCTCGAGTCGGCTGCCCTGCCTCTACACAGTATGTTCAAAAAGGGAGCAGGAAGTAGCAAAAGCTTATCTAGTCCCTAAGTTTACATGCAAATTCTGAATTCAATATACACTAGGGATGCATGATATTGGATTTTTGGCCGATTTCCGATATGCCGATATGTTAAAACTTATTTGGCTGATAACCAATACCGATATTTTATATACTTTCCTTTGTCAGAACATAGCTCTTTTATTTAGGTTTATTTGCTACAAAAATTGTGCAACAACTGGAAGAGCTGGTGACATATATTCAGTAACAGCCATATGATATTCAAAGCACTTTAACTTATATTAAGTGAAAAGTGTTAAGTATTATTTATTAGCATTAGTCACCTGCAATGCTCTCTCACTTGTGGAGGCTTGTTCTGGGTTCCTAGATGCAGTATGATCCTCTGCACTCTTTTGCCAGAAGGACAACCTTTTTAAGTTCAAAGCTTTTGGCTATCCATTGTGCCATAAGACTAATCATGCTAACGGGGCAAACACGACGTCCAAATGTCTGTGGTAAAACTCACCCAAGTGCTCCTGGCTATTAGTTTCTCAATGACGTCATAAATGACGGCTTGTAACTCCGGTAAGGTAACGTCGGAGAAATATCCCCGACTGGGGACGATGTAGTGAGGCTCAACGTAGTCCAAAAATCTTTGGAATCCGACATCCTCACCAACGAAAAAAAACCTTCCACACCGCCGATATTTTGAATTTTCCTCTCCGCCGTGAGATGAGGTAGTCGCGCATGACGCCATCACGTTGTGCTGCCGCTGCACGCATCCTTGTCACTGGGTTGTCATACAAAAACAGCGCCTTTTATATCGGTGAGTTATTTTGATGGAATGGCCGATGTCCGATATTGAACTTTAACGCTAATATCGGCCGATACCATGACGATAATATTGTGCATCGCTAATATATACATAATTATATAAATACACATATGTGCATGGATACTTGCAGCATACTGTATACATGCAGACATGCATGCATAGCGATGTATACCTACACATACAGTACATAAATATACCTGCAGATACAAATTTACTCTTAAATCACCTACAGCTCTCAAAGCTTAATATGCAAACACACAGATTAACAAATTATCAGTTGGAATAACATAATTTTGCCTCATTCATTTTTATACACATTAATTTTGTAATTCTTGTAATTTCTCTTGGATTGATGGTGCAATATTTTTACTTTGCCTAATGTCTTCATCCAAGCCATTCCACAAAATCACTCCATGAACTGACATGTACATGCTTTTAAGAGTGCTGGGAATACAGGGTTGCCTTAAATTACATTTTCCTCTCAGTTCATACTTTCCTTCTCTATTCTTAAATAATTTTTGAATATTCTTTGGAAGTACATTATTTTTAGCTTTGAACATCACCTGTGCAAAAAAATAAAAGTCCATGCTCAATAATCCAGGTATACAATCTAACAAATTTCAGTCAGGTCATCTGGACAGTTTCTTTTTTTTTTTTTTTTTCTGAAATGTTTCACTTTCCATCCAGAAGGCTTCATCAGTCAAGCAAATGCACAACACAAAACTGATTCTTCCCCCAAACAGCTTACTCCAATGTGGAACATACCAGTTATGTTGGTGGTTTTGAACCAGTTTGATATGACTGTTGACGAGGAAGAGGGCCGGACCAGAGGAGGGGGCGTGCCAAAGACACCATCTTAGCACCAACATAACTGGTTTGTTCCACTTTGGAGTAAGCTGTTGGGGGAAGAATCAGTTTTGTGTTATGTGTTTCCTTGACTGATGAAGGTGAAACATTTCAGAAAAAAAAAGCAACTGTCCAGACGACCTAACTGAAAATTGTTGGATCTCCTGTGCAGTTTTAAATTGTACCAAATCCATAAATTTCATAAGCTGTGATTTAAAAAAAAGTTGATTGGTGTGTTCATGATACCAAACATTGTGTACCATCCTTATTGCTCTTTTTTGCATTATGCATATGTTTTGCAGAGAACTTTTGTATGGATTACCCCAAATTTCAACACAGTAGTCTAAATATGGCTGTAACAGGGTGTAATAAAGAGTGTGCAAAGATTTAATATTCAAGATATGTCTTGTTATTCCCTATATCCCTAATGGTTTTAGTCATCTTATTACACGTTTAATACAGTTTCCAACTAAACTTGTGGTCCAAAATAACACCTACAAACTTATTTTCAAACACTCTATCAATTAATACATTATTTATCTCCAGTTTAACATTTGTTATAATTTTTAAAATTTCAAATAACATAAATTTGGTTTTAGATTAATTTAAATATAATTTTGTTTCGATCAAACCAACATTTAAATTCATCTATTTATTTTCCTACTACCTTCAATAAGTGCTTTAAATCCTCCCCAGAACAAAAAAAAATAGTTGTATCATCTACAAGTATAACTAAATTGAATATACTTGTCACTCTACATATGTCATTAACATGCATATTAAACAATTTGGGACCCAGTACTGAGCCTTGTGGGACACCACAGATAATGTTCAAACATGCAGATTTAAACTGACCAATTTTCACAGTTCTGTAGCATAAAGCTCAAGAAGTGTTTTGACGGGTTCAGTTATGCCTCCATTGCAAAGCATAAATCTGTCAGTGAGTATGAAGTTGAAGTTAAATTCACATGTTTTAAAAATCAACTCTGAAAATGTGACTTTTTTTAATCTTGAAAAGCCAGACTGGTTAAACAGAAGAGTGGTGGAATATTACAACACAGACACCTGTCCTAACACTTGACTGCCCTTTAAACTTCTCAAGTGATCTCAGTATCTCTGTCCATCACCCTGCCAGAGAGGATAGTGTTTTCTCTAATCGCTTGATCCTCTTTTGTTGAAAGCTCAGCAAGGCACAGCTCTGTAACAGGCCTCCCCCATCTCGCTCCTGCTGTCACACCCTACAGCTGGCCTAAAGGCATTTGCTGAACCTGAAATGTCTTGTCACTATTATCTCTCCTGTGTCATGAGATAAACAGACAACAGGTCTGCCTTGGACAAAGCCCAGTTTAGTACAGCTGTCCTGCTAAAGATAGACAAACACACACCATCTGTTGCTCCTTCTGCAGCTAGAGTATGGCTCTAGCTTCATTTCCTCTCTTTTTTCTCTTTAATATTTCGAATAGCGATCATGCTAAAGGCTGCATCATGCTGAATGCAGCCTTTGATTCCACATTTTATGGATGGAGAAGTGACGGTCACTTGTAGCTTTAGTCACAACTTTATTTTATTGTATTATACAGTTATGATTTAAGGCACAGGTTTATATTGTAAACTGGTGCTAAAATGTATTTGCTATAAAAGGAAGTAAACCGAAGAGGATCTTGCAGTCACGTGAACATCTCAAGGCTTTTTTTTTTTTTTTTTTTGCCACAGAGGAAGTGCTAATTTTATCATAATAAGATGCCCACAGTGATAAAGCCAGTGCTGACTAGCTTAATTATTTTGGTTGGCTGATCAGCAGGTCATAAGCCCCCTTTTGTTCTTCTTTCAGGCCCAGTGTAAAGAGCTGTTCATCCAGGAGCGGTATGCAAAGTACAACCTCAGTGACCCCTTCCAGGCTCTGCAGAGAGATAGTGAAATTGTAGGGGGTTCCAACAAGGAGGCAGGCTGTGCATCTTCAACCAACCCTCTGGTGGTTCTCAAACTGGTAGTGAGCCACTGCAGGAGGATGCAGGAGAAGATGCTGGCCCAACTGGCTGCAGCCGAAAGCCGACACAGGAGGGTGAGTTTGAACGTGCAGTGAATGCAACGATCGTTGTGCAATGGATTTTTTTTTTTGTCTTTTATTAGAAGAATATTTACAATCCAGCACATATGCCACAATTGCGGCACAGAATATAAATTTAATTTGGTCAACCGCATACCTTCAATATAGTTGACCAAGCTCATGTGAGATGATTCACATCAAAATACCTGCTGTGTTTGATTTAGGTAATTGCAGACCTGGAGGAGGAAAAGAGGAGGCATGCCGAGGACACAGCCGAGGGAGATGATGTCACTTATGTCCTTGAAAAAGAGAGGGAGCGCCTACAACAACAGGTGATTGGCACTAACACAGATTTCACTATTCATACATGTCCAAACATCAATCAAGCAATCAGTGAGGAATCGACAGAGCATTTTAAACAAACTAAGTAATCCTTCCCACTTCTGACATGTTCTTAACAGATTTGTTTTTTCCCTGTGCTTGTAGCTTGAATTTGAGCGGAGCCAGGTTCGCCGGCTGGAAAAAGAGCAGCGACGGATTACTGAGCAGCTGGAGGAAGAACGGGCTCAGCACAAACAGCTCTCCTGCGCCTTGGCCAAAGAGTGCAAGTGGGCGAGCTCTCGGGCTCTAGAGGAGGGTCACCGGCTGACAGAACTGAACCGTAGACTTGATAAGGTCTAAACATTTCGAAGTCACATTAGACACTTCACCATTTTGCATTTTCTATGAATTATGCATTTTACTCCAGTTTAGTTTTAATGCTGCTTAAAAATACAAATGTTTCTGTTTAGGAAAGAGAGGCCTCTCAAGCTTTGAGGAAAGAGCTGGAAGAGGAGAGGACACGAGCTTTGAGGATGGAGGCCAGCGTGGAGGAGCAGCTGGCTGAGTTCGACACTGAACGTGAACAGCTTCGCTCACGTTTGAAGAAGGAAGAAGCTCACTGCTCTCAGCTCCAACGACAGGTGTCAACACTTAGATAAATTCACCCCATGAAGGTTTTTAATTATTTTCAGCACAGAAAAGGAAATGTGCTAAAGCTCAGTGTGCTTTAAAAGTGATTTTTTTTTTTACATGATCAGGTGGAGGAGCTGAAGGGGAAACTGGAGGAGGCCTACACAGCGAAAGATATGAGAGGAACCAATGTATTTCCAGTGACAGGCAAAGAGTGGGCTACAAGAGTTTTACCAGGAAGCCTATCGGTGGACAATGTTAAGTTTGAGGTCACTGATGAAGACTGCACCAACCAACATGTTCAGCCACAAGTCAATGGCCACCTTTGTCCAGTGGAGACCAATGGGTCTCTTGGTTCAAACAGTGTACTCTCAGAGAAAATGCTCTTTCAAAATGAAAACGAGACCCCAACGTTGTTCTCCTTCTGCAGTACATCGCTCTCAACTCAAACTCATTCTTCTTCCTGCGTTTCTCCCGATCTAATGAAACCTCCCACAAGCCATCAGTCTCCATACCAGGCTGGGCTCAATCAGCGGTTCCACGCTGCACGACACAAGTTCCAGGGTAGTTTGGATGCAGAACCACAGAACCAGGCTGCACCACCTGCTCCCCCCCTCTCACCGAAGGACCTCTCTCCTGGGAGCAGCAGCTCCTCTTCAGAGGCCAACCCAGTGAAGCAGATGGCCCGCAGCACGGTCACTCAAGTCCTGTCTCGTTTCACCACCGTCCAGCAGAGCACCACAACAAAGCTGACCGCACCCAATAACTCCCCCTTTGGCACAGATTACCGCAGCCTGGCAGCACCTTTGTCTCCGGTCATTGGAAGGGCTGCAGGGGCTATCCTCCAGGGGATCAGATCACCCACCTTCAACAGGGCAGACAGAGGCAACCCTCCACCCATCCCACCAAAGAAGCCAGGTCTAGCTCAAGCCCCTCTGTCCCCAGCATCAGTCCCCAAATCTGCCAGCCATTTCTCAGACAGCCCCCTGTCAGGCAGCTGTGGACTCAGCTCTGCCCAAGAAGGTGTCAAAGAACTGGACATGGTAGTTTCATCAAATTAACTGGTAGTACAGCTGGGGTCAGTATGATTTAATCTATGTGCTGGTGAAGATTCTCAGTCATCCAGGACATGATAAATTCAAAAAACATTCAATACAAAAACAACTGGACTTTATTTGTAACAGAAGACGTTTCGCTCCTCATCTGAGGAGCTTTCTCAATTGTGAATTCCAAATTGAGAAAGCTCCTCGGATGAGGAGCGAAACGTCTTCTGTTACAAATAAAGTCCAGTTGATTTTGTATTGAATGGTTTGTTTTTTATTTAATTCATAATAATTCATGATTACTATTGTCTTTTACATGGAAGCATTTATACTATTATTTAAAAAGAAATCTCTTAAAATGTATTTTGACCATCACTTATCGTAGTTTTCGGACTATAAGGCGCACCGGATTATAAGGTGTCTAAGCGAAACAAAACAGTCAGATAAGTCAAACTTCATTCAACACATTCACAATAAGCACATAAAATCAGTTCAAGGTCAGTAAGTACAACCAGAATTAATACATAAGGCTCACTGGATTTTTGAGACAAAGGATTTTAATTGCGCCTTATAGTCAGAAAAATACGGTATTTATGTAGTGATTAGGAAAATGATAGAGTTTAAAATTAATTGTTATTTTTATATTTTATATTTAGAGTATCATAGAAGAATATACTTAAAAATTGATTGATGTTCTTGTGATATTATAAGCATCAAGCATGTAGGAATTGCTACAAAGAAATGATAGGAAAAAAGTCACCTATTTCAGTGTACATTAATTTTTACTGTCATAAATTTTATATATATGTCCATTTATCACTGATTTATGAACATTATACACACAGATTATCGGATCACTTGTAATCCAGGATAGAATTCTGTTTTGTTTTATCTTAATTTTGTTCAATATAAAGATTATCAGACTGAGTATATGCGGTCTCTGTTATATATGAAGTTGTTTCAAATGAGAGTTATGCCTTTATCATTCTAAGAAACAAACATTTTTATAAACTTTTTTTTTGCCTTCATCGAGTCTTTTTTTAAATACTTTGTAGGCTGAAAAGTAAATTTACAAATAAATTTACAGTAAATTATGATCATGCTTTTTCTTTATTTGCCCACTCACAAGATTTGTGACACCTGATCACGCTGATTTGGGTATTACAGACAGTTCTTGTGATAATCTGTTTTAATCTGAAGGTAAAGTGGTTACCACTTGCTTCACAGAAAGAAGATGCTTGGTTTAGGACTCGGGTTTCCAGAACGTCCAGAGTGGAAAGTACTTTCTATGCCTTGTACTTTTCCCCTGGTACTTTGGTTTCCTGCAACTGTACAAAAGCAACAGTTCTAATATGTACTTAAAAAATAACAGATTTTAGTTACATTTTTCTTACGTTACTGCTCAAAAATATATAGAGTATGTAGTACAGTATATCTGTTAGGCATTTGTAATGCTGTGCTACCAAAGAGTGTCCTCTAGAGGTCAGTACTTGATAAGTGTTTGATGTACAAATCAAATATGACGTAATTTTTTTTTTTTGAAAGCTTAAATGTCCAGATAGATAAATCTGACAAAAAAGTGACATACGTTTTTATCATTTACTTGTTATCTTTAACTTAAAGTTAGAAATTAACTGATGTTATTGTATTAATGCATACTTTAAAGTGCCTCTATGCAGGTACTTTAAATTACACCTGCAGTATTAATGAATGGAAAATACAAAAACAATGTACTGTGTTGTTCATGTACTGTATAGTGCATGTTTCCTTTAGCATATGAAACTACCTAGATGGCAACATTTGTCGACAATCAAAATGTTTTTGCTTTGTTTGGTCTCTTTCATGGTAAGAGTCTAATCTGATCTTCAGGAAAACATCTACAGTATATTACAAGGATGTTCTATCCGTTTCAATGGAGAAGAAATATTATGACAACTCAAAATGGTCTTAATCATTTTATTTCTGTGTTGCTCAAACTATAAACAGAGTTTTGTAGTATATTGTTGAAGGGATGCTATTTAAGAAAAAAAAACGAGTGATTGGTTTTTAATGTCGGACCAGTAATTGAATAACGGTGTAAAATTACACGAACAGAGTCTCCAAATGCCTATAATATCTTCTGTGTGCATTTCCTCTGCACTCTTAAACTTTGAAGATGGACAATGTATTCATCTGCAACATTATGTTGTATAACTGACATGACCTAAGATCAAGAATAGGTCATTAAGAAGGGATCAGGAACTAAACTACAAATTTACAACCACATCTGTCAAATTACTAATGATTTTTTCCTGAATAAATGACCTGGATCAGTACTTGAATCGCTTCCATCTACAACATTCATTTGAGCTGGTAAGTAACTAAATCAGCTTGATTTCTTATTTTTTTGTTTCCCTTTAGCCTAGGACATGGCTATTCAACTGGTGGCCCGCGGGCCATTTCTGGCCTGCCGGTGACTTCAGTCCAGCCCACTTCATTTAAAAAAAATATTTATTTTATTTTTTGAAGGGGGTTCTGGGATATGATTTTGGGTTCTATTTAATGAATTTATGATTCAATGCAATAAACAAATTTAAAGCGGATCATTGTAATACTTGGTTTATTTAAATAATGAATTTAATCGCTGGTTGTCCGGCTCCTGAGCTGCTCGCTTCCAGAAACCTTGGCCCCCGTGAGCAGTTTTGTTGAATAGCCCTGGGACATGAGGTGGGCCCAGAATAGGAGCTCGGTCGCCCACACACGGCCCCTTGAAGTCCACAGCTGGAGCTGACTCAAAAGCGTGACAAGAAGACGGAGGGCTGAATGATGAGTGGTGTTGGCACCATCACCTGCTCCCAGTAAAGCAATTTGTTATAGAGTTGTCACTGTAAAATCCATAGCTTGTCCTCGGGTACAGGAAGAAAGGGTCACATGTAATGAGGATCCAGCTTTGGCTCCAAATCCAGGTCTGACATGTTGAAGGACACACAGCTGGGCTACAGAATGAGAGGAGAACATGTCTGGTGACAGACACCTCAATCTAAGAAGCCATAATGTGCAAAGTGCAATTTTAAAAGTCAAGATATGACTTTGTTCACAAATGCACTCAAAGCTGATTAATAGTCCGCCTTATATGTATAAAGCATACCTTTACACAGGCTGTCAGTGCAGGGGTATTTTTAGGCAGCTGCTTTGTTATTGACCTTTACTAACATCCCCCACCATCATCCCTGGATTTGCACTGATTGAAATGACCTCCTGCTTTCATTCTTGTCTGTGTGTCTCTCTGTACCTACTGGTGTCTGCAGCTCCAAGTGACTGATAGAAGTCTCAGGGATAAAAGGCAGAAGTGTCCTTGAAGTGGATCAGATGTTTCCAGACTGGCTCGATGAGACAAACCTGTCTCTGGATGCAGACTGTTGATATGAGCTGAACCACAAACATGCCCTCTGGCAGCATAACAGGAGAGGTTCAAGTGCTTGGAACAGAGAGGAGGATATTTAACTCTCCCTCCCTGAGTCACGTGGTACAGAGGCATCTTCACTGACTTATTAATCATTTTCTAACAGAGGGACTGTACTGGGAGCGAAGATGGACGTCCTGAAAGTAGAGTTATCAAGGCAGCAGCTGACTTTAATCTGGTTTGGAATTAATCTTATGAAATTATAAAAACTGTACAAAAAGACGTCTACGATAACAATTATCTGGTTTAGTTCAGAAAAAAAAGGTTCCCCTTGAATAGCGTCTTTGAATTTTAACTTTTAAAGGTTTCCAAAGCTATGGGTTTCCCCGAATCTTAGAAACCCATTTTGTTTGATGGTTGTGTGAAACATGTTTGATTTGTTGAATTCTACATAAGCACTGGATTGAAACCTGTCACACCTTTAATAGAATGACCCCCCTGAGCAGGATAATGCTCTGTTTCCCCATCAAACTCCACAATGATCATGTGAAAAATAATACATCGCTCCTCAGAGCTGCAGCTTCCTAATGCAAAACTGTCCTTACATGAGAATGGACTAAGAAATGGTACAGAGATGCAAATGGACCCTCATAGTCTAGAACAGGGGTCTGCAATGTTTAGGATCCAAAGAGCCATTTCTGTCACTTTTTTCATTAAATTAAATGTGTCCAGAGCCACAAAACCTGCTACAGTTGTCATTATCAACTGGTGGCCCACGGGCCACTGTTAGAGGGGGCTTTTCTGGTGTGAAATTTCAAAAATAAAAACATCTAATGATTGTTAACATTTATCTTTTTTTTTTTTTTTTTACATTTTGAGACAAAATAAAAGACTGGATTCCATTCATCAATCCATCCATCCATTCTATTCATCCATCCATCCATCCATCCATTCATCCATCCATTACTTTTACTCGCTACTTCCTTTTTGGGTTGCAGAGGGTCACTGGTGCCCATATCCAGGTTGCAAGTCCACCACAGAGGATTGGATTATTGTAAAAAAAAAAAAAAAAAAGTAAAAAAAAATATATACATATATATATATATATATATTTTTTTTTTCATTTAGCCTTTATTTATCCAGGTTAGTCTCATTGAGCCACGAGAACTCATTTTCAAGAGAGACCTGTTTAGGGAGCACATGGTGGGGGTTAAGGGCCTTGCTCATGGGCCCAGAGTGGGGCGAATTAGGGTGGGGGCAAGTGTGGGTGTTTCACCTACCCCACCCACAATTTTGATGTTGTCGGGGCCGG